CTGCCACAGCCTCACACTTCAGCCAGGCCTGACCCTCACCCTTGGACATGACATCCTGGTAAGACAGCAGAACTGCCCATCCCTAAGGCCTGGCCTGAGGACCTGCACTCTTGGCTGACCCCGCTTGCTATCTCCAGACCTGTTCTGTTCTTCTTGGTGAGTGCCTGTATGGCAGCTCCCTGGCCCATGAGGTCATGGACTCTGCCAGCCTTGCTGCCACTCTTGGCTTGCCCTTCCTCTGCAGTACAGTCTACCCCTCCTGTGCCATTGCAGATGCTGCTTTGCACTTAAGGATTGCATCTTTACCCATAATGACAACGACATCAGTAGTAGTTATAGTCACTTGCTTCTTTAACAGTAGAAAAAGCATTGAGAGAGATCAATCAAATCTAAAATACAGCCAAGGAAAGAAAATCATCAACATGACAAGAAATAGAGAAAGCTTCACATAGGTTTGAAAAGAATTAACACTACAACCAAACCAACCCCAAATTAAGCAGAGCTCACCTTTGTTCTCAATCTATCAACTTCACTGACCATTTCAGAATATCTGCTCTTCATTTCCCCCTTCAAATTAAGCTGTGACTCCACTTCTCTCTCCTCATACACCCTTATTTTCTTCGTAGCTCTACTGAGAAGTCTCTTCAACCTATACAGCAGATTAGTTCAGAAAACAGCGAAATATAGGAATAAGCAACCTTTCCCATATGCTCTCAAATAAGGAGTACAGACATAGCTTTCTTCATCTTTAACATACTTGACAGTACCAGGAATTGCTGAGAAAAGATCTGCTCTTTTTGTGCCACAAATCACCTGGTGCATCCAAATTTCAGATGAAAAGAATTGAAGACTTTCTTCCCCACCCCCAGAGAACTGCAGGGCAACCTGGACTGACAATTCCTCTTGCAGATCTAAGTAAGTATAGGCTCGTGCACAGACGTACCTTGCAGGAACTAACATGAGACTTCATTTAGCTCACAGAGTATGTATGCCTATTCTTACATTACAGTTCAATAAAACTGGACTTGAATTCAGGGGTATCTCTTCACCATGTCAAAAAGCCATACCTCTTAAAGTCTTTCTGCAATTCTAAGTTTCTTCTCATTTCTTGGTCCAGACGGAGTTCAACTGGGCGTTTTAACTCTATCAGTTTCTTCACCTTCTTTCTTTCACTCTCACACTTTCAAAACAGAAAAGACACAACACACACAAAATGTAAGAACAATAGCTACGTGCAAATCCTCTAGTATTCTCCACAGAGAAGCTGCAGTCTATCTCCATCTGTTAGCCAAGTTCCACGTTAGGTTTCACAGCAAACTGGCCAATACTGAAGAACAAAAATAGATGCCTCCACGGAAACAAAGGTGGAAAAGATGCTGGACTACTTTCAAGAGTTCTCAACTCATAGCAAGGATTACGTAAGTATGCTTATCATGGAAGAATACAAAAAAATCTAAAGTTTTTACAAGATCTTAATTGATCAGCAAGAAAAGGAATTCGATCTTTGGGAATTTTTTCAATATACTATTTCCTTCCACCTCTTCTTTGTGGCTACTTATGTGCTAGTTGCTTTGTACTTGCTTTATTCCTCTACAGACAAGGAGGGAAAGACTGCCCCTTCAAAACTGTCCGTCATTTCTTGTTTCCCAAGCAGTAGCTCATTTACTCAGAATTCTTTCAGTATGTTTTTCTGCAAGGCTTTTAAGCATCCACTACCCAGAAAACATACTGCTGCTCCTCTATGCACTGCACTGGAAAAATTAAATACTCCAACCCTGCCCAGAAAACAAAGGGGTCAGAAGACGGCCAAGGAAGGAAGGAATCCAAGAAAGAACAGGGGAACTGCAGCCCTGCTTCAAGTGTTCAACTGATGGAAACCATACTGGGAACTCTTTCAAAGAAAATCACTCAAGAACTTACAAAAGATAACCAGATAGCTTTCATTTGCTTCCTGGATGATCCACAAATCACAACATATCCAGACCCTGAATGGTAGGGGTAATAAAAAAATGCTTTTTATGTAAGAACTTGGCCAAAAAAGTTAATGTGGTTCTCTCAGGTACTGGTTAGGTCTCTGGAGAATTTTCTAGATTTACCTGTTCAAAGAGGTCTGCCTTTTCCCTGTCAAGTTGAGCAACACGCTCTTCGAGGTTGGATCTTGACCTAAACTGCTCTTCCCACATGTTCTGCAAGTCCTTTGATGTCAGTGCCAGTATATTCTGCTTTTGCCCCTGTAAAAGCAACAATGGCAGAAGAAGAAACTAAGGTGACCATAAAGAAAACATTGCAACAGTAAGCTGTAACTTAAATTGAAACTCTCTCCTCTCCTCTTTCAATGTCTATGGTTAATGTTAATGTGGAATGTAAAACACAGCTTGGGAAACATAACCAAGAAGAGAAATTGAAGATGGTAAAAAGAATGAATGCTATAAGGATGGGGAGATGAGGTAGAACTTTGGGGAATAACAAACACACACACAAAATCACCCTGTGGCTTTCTTCCAAAGGTTCTCCAGAGTTCATGACATACTTTCTAATGGATTAATTTCTAGTGCCCACCACAGAATACACCCTACCCTTGTTGCTTCTGTATCAGCTGTCCATCTCCTGACAGCAAGAAAATGTTTTGAAATTGACAATGGTATTGATGGTTTATCTAAAGGGACAAAGATTTGCCTAAGAGATGCATTTGAGTTGAACAGAACTTGCTGATTCAGTTCAAGTATAAAGACTGGAAGTTGACTAGATGCTTTTAGCAGCATTTTTTAAAGAAAAAAAAGAAAATTACAAAAGCAAAAAAGGAAAAAACAAGAGATGTTTACTGACTACAGAAAGTGACAAAACACTTGGCACAAAGTCTCAGATACAAAAAACCCCTAGGGTGTATAATCTTTCTCAAGTCCTTACAGAGGAGGTAAAACATTGGGTCTCATGACAAAAATTCACATGGCCTCAAGACAAGCTCTGACAAAACTGAAAAGATAATATGGATCTGTCAAGTCTAGTCCCCTCTTTCAGCTTTCAACCACAGACCTCCATGCTGTCCACAACATCCATTCTATCAGTCATCTCCTATGGCTTAACCTGGTAGGGAGCTAAGCATTGCACAGCCACTTGCTCACTCAGGGAAGAAAATTCATCAGATGAATCACACTGATGTCACAACTGTCTTGCACACCACAACACATACAAAACACAGCAGTAGGAAAATGAGGAAATTTGCCTTTTCCCTTGAGGGTACCTTGCCCTAAATCCAGATGGGTATTTAACAGCTGTGTGCTTACACAGCCCGTATCATCTTTTCATCAATTACCTACACACAAAAAATTCAAAGACTAAAACAGTCATTCACAGAAGCCTGTCATGTACCTGCTTGTGGTGGTCTTCTGCAGCTGCCTGTGCTGTCTGTAAGTTCATTATCAAGTCTTCCAGGCGGTTATGAACCTACAGAAACATTACAAGAAGCAAGAAGGTACACTATGACTTTCTAGACTGAAGTTACACCTCACTGATGAAAGTATTACACAACCTCTTCACCTCTTTATTCCTACATTATTTGCACCCAGCAACAATGACCAATACGGCCTTAGTTTGATGCCACTGTAAAACTGTTAGCAATCATCACCTCTGCCATTTGGTGAAGAGAAAAACAGAGAGGAAGAGAGAAAAGACCACTTCAAATGTAAAGACTCTTCAGTGAAAACAGGCAGGAATAGCTCTTCTCATCCCCAGTACACTTGAAAATCATGCCCTATTGTCAAAGTGGAAGGATTTGTGACTGCCTTCCCACTTCCCTTGACAGTATCAGTACATCACAAAATTTGACTATCACATATAGTGATTTTCTAAATACCTTCAGCTGTAATTGACAACAACAGTCATAACAAGAACCCTAGTTCACTGGCTACAATGCAAAAAACAGCAACAACAAAAAATAACTCTTAATTCAGGACATAGATGTGGTCCTTATCTGAGCTAAAATTAACCACGGTGTAGAAGCAGTGGTAAATTCCAAGGCTAACACTGAGTTTTGCAGATACCACAAGCTGCAGATACCACTGTTTCATGAGAACAGACACACAGCAAGTAGCCAAAGGAAAAGCAATTCTGCACAGCAAAAGCTCTGAGGCATGTAATTTTGTTTCAGTCTGATGATGTCAGTCAGGTCTCTGGCATACCGGGCTTGGCATCAATATACCCAGTTAACTTGAATGCCTTAAATGAAACACATCACAGTCCCCAAAGCAGCCATCTGATGTTATGAAGGGTCTAAATCAGACAATAGTTACACTGGCATATTGCTGTCAAATCCTGACCTTTGAGAGTGTTTGCTATAGCATGGGAAAATTTTCAAAACTGGATGGCTGGGATGGCTTTCCGAGCAGCCTCTATTCAGAAAAATGCAGGAACTGAGCCCCCCTTGGCTCTCTAGGAAAACCTCACCATGACATTTCCCCACAGAAATAGGTAACTAGGATCAGAAGTCACCAAAAGGGAAATTTATGAGCAGCTTACTGAGGCAGAGGTTTGCAGGTCTCTCTGCAGGGCTTCAATCCTGTTGCTTTGTTGCTGGACAGTGGCTTCCAATCTGGTGTTTTCAATTTCAAGGCTTAAAAAGAAATAGAGGTCTTATAAAAATCTGCCAGAGTACAAATTCCAAAAGAACAGTGCAAAATAATAAAATACAAGAAAATCCTTCAAAATCTTAAAAATTTGCTGTGATGCAGTAAGACTACCTATCTATGCTATGGTTTCCAGCCAATCCCTGCAAGTGACAGATACCTCGCCCCACTGTGTTCTCTTACTGTTGCACGTGTTCTTCCAGTTGTTTCATAGTAGTATTAGTCTCAGAAGATGCCAACAGCTGGTCCTGCAATTTCTGGGCACAAGCTGTTGCTTCTCTTTCCTTCTCATCCAAGGCAGTCTTCAAGTCACGAACACAACACTCAGACTGAAGATATTTTTCTTCCACATCCAGCAACTGTAAAGTCACAGAAAGAATCCACGGTCGTCACCTGAGCTTTTAGACACAGGAGTCAGCTGCTGCCCAAGGATTCACGTGCTGCAGATATCTGCCCATACCCTCTGCACAAAGAACTGTAATCATCTCAAGTACCTTCAAAGCTTACTAGCAAATGAACACAAGCTGTGTTGCTTCTTTTACAGTGGCCTCTCTCATCCCTCCATGGATTTCCTAGAGCACGGTTCTAAGCACTGACACTGCTGCTCCAACCCTTCTGGTGACTTTGTATTAGGATGCTCTTTGTATTCACTCGTTTGCTCCTCTGTGCAAACATGAATTAAGAAGTTCATCTGTCTGTAGTGACTTCAAAAGCCCCTCATAAGGATCAAATTTTTAAAATTATTTTCCTTTTAGAACTCCAAGACCTCTATATGTCCATACCTTGGAAAACAATGAAAGATGGTCCCTAACTCAGAAATAGCTTACACTTCCCTTCCAGAAAAACCACTTAAGGATGGCAGATTATAACAGTGCCAAAGAAGGAGGAAATATGCAGAATAAGTAACAAAAACATTCAGAATTTGACATGTTACCTGGTGACAGGTGAGGGTGGGGGGAGTGAGGGGAGGGGGAAAGCAGGACAACACAAACATGTCCAAACACAGCAGTCCAACACTTCTATTGTTCTTCAGAAATCAGACAATCTGCTAGACTAAACCAAAGGCAACAAGACATAAATACAAACACAAATTTATTGTGAAAAGCACCTTCACAAATAAAACATTTTGTCCAAGTAAGGGCATAACATCCGCACGTCAAAGACAGGACACCAAGTTTATAAAGCAGTGCAATTGATTCCCACATCATTAAATCTATCCTGCTGCATTTTCTTCCTGGGGTTTGAGGACAACATTCAATCCTACTTTTAATAACCACTCTAAGGTTTATTCATATAATTACAGACATTATGTACCTTGGTTTTAGCCTTTTCCAATTCCTTTTGCAAGCGAAGCTTGTCTTCCTCCAGGTCACTGCGGTAGCGCGTAGTAACCTCCAATGAAGCTTCTGACATAGATTGCTTTTTCAGAGCATCAGCAAGCTCCTGTTGCAGCTGTCTGATCATGCCCTAATGAACAATTAAATGAGCATGAATAAAGTTGTAAGAACATGAAAAATGTGTTTACTTTCACTTATTTGATTACAGAGTTAGACTTGTCTTTGGGTTGAACTCAAGTGAAATTGTCTGTCACCAGCAGGTACATGCACAGACAATCACCTCTCCATCTTTCTCAGCTGAGCCCCCCCAAACAGTAAGCAGCTGTTCATGAGGATTTCTGTTTCCTAACACATAAAAAAGACCCAGACATTGTTCTACTTGAAACCATGCGTAAGCACACACTGCAATCATGGGAATTTTTCTAACAAAATCCAAAGAAATTTGTTATGATGCAAGAGCCATAATCTGACTGCAGATACTACTTTGTTCACCAAAGGCAGGACATGGTACCACATCATTCTTTGTCTTATTCCTACATTTTACAAATATAATTAAATTAATTTCTATATCTAAAAGTTCTTTTTAGATATACTCTAAGAATATGTTGAATCACATCATCTTGCAGCTGTCTTAATGTTTTAGAATAACAACTGCCTTTATACTGACATATTAGGTTTACTAAAATCTGCATAGTTCATACAGTTACATAAATGTACTATTTTCAGAGGGAACCTGCTGTTTTGGTATGAAGAATACACAGCAACTCACAGATTAAAATGACTGTCAGTACTGTTGGGGTTCTCTCCCCATAAACACCTTACAGTAACTGACAAATGAAGAATAAAGCAGTTATGTCACACATGCCTATATTTATGTCACTCCAAGATTCCAGACTTGTTAGGGAGAAGGAAGCGTAATTTAAAATCATTAAAGGAGACAAACTATACAGCAGCGTGTCTAAATACTGACTTTTATTAGTTCCTATTGTCTAAAATGCAAGGGAGATTAAACAAAACGGGTAAGGCAATTTTTAAGTCATTACTCTACCTGAAATTGGCCAGAACAGGCTATCATTACAGAATACCCTACCTACTCCTAGGAACAGAGTTAGTGTTGCATTTGCAGACCCCTTAGAGCCCCAAGAATGTTCATAAATTAACACCTGGCCACTATAATACTCCTCAATTTTTATAGCAGCTTAGGGAGAAGCAATGTTTTTCCTCTGTAAGAACTTAATATGTCCATCTCACACAATTCACTCATCTGCATCTTCATTTCTCAACTGCCACATTCTTCCTTTTACATCATCTCTTGTGTCATCAGTGCAATACTTAAAAAAAATCATCAAATACCTAAACCAATTCTATAGGGCAAAAAATGGACTATGGAAGAGAGATGAAGGATTCTTCTCTTCTAGAGAAGAATTACCTTTCTTGATCAAAGCAGTCTTGGATACCTTCTTTCTGCATTCTGCTCGGATCTGAGCAGTAACATCCCATTTACCAAAACTTTCCACAATTTCAAGAGAAACACAACAAACCAGAAAAAAATCATCATTATCTGGTCCCATGCATATGGCTTATAACTAATCCACTTTAGAAACAAAATAATATCAAGAACTGGAAAACTTTAAATTGCTGCAAGTCTATATCTTACCTCTCTCTCTATTTTGTCAGTCTCATATTTGAAGACTTGTTCTCTTAAATCAATACATTTGGCATTTAATTCCTTGTTTCTCTCTTCCACGAGGTAAACTTGCTTTTCAGTATCAGCTCTGAGTTTGTTGAAAATATCATTAAACCGATCTTGCACATCACTCACTACTTTTTCTTTGATGATCCCCTTGTTCTGCAGATCTTCCAGCTGCTGACGGAGCAAAAGGTTTTCACTCTGGAGCTGGGCTAATCGCTCCTGCATGGATTCCTGCTTTATTATAAGTTTGTTTACTTGGTCTTTCTCAAGCTGTCGAGCATGATCGTATTCCTTTGCCTGACACTGGGCTTGACTTAATTCTTTTTGTGTCATTTCTAAAAACAGCGTTTTTTCTCTGAGTGTTTGTTTTAACTGGTGAAGCTCATTTTCTAGACTATTAGCTTTGCTTTCAGCTTTACTCAGCTGCTGAGACAAGCTCTTGTTGGTTTCTCGCACGTCTGAGAGGTCATGATGGAGCTTGTCTTGCAAGCGAAGCCATTCATCACGTTCTCTCTGAAACGTTCGTTCGACATCACTTTTTGATGACTGGTGACGTTCAAGTTCTTGAACAGCAGTGTTCAAGCGGGAACGAAATGATTCGATTTCTGTCTCTAATCTGTCTTTACTTTCTTTTGTCTGCTCAAGCTTGGAAGTTAGCATTGTGGATTCTGTCTTTAGTAAGTTCAGTTGTCCATTGTACTGAAAAACTGTTTGTGTTAAGGCTTCCTCACTGAGCTTAAGTTCTTTTTTAAGATCTTCATTTTTTTCTTTCAAGGTCTCATTTTCCTCTAAATATTTTCCTTCTTCCTCCTGGTGCCTAAGTCTTATTTGATCAAGTTCTAGTCTTAGCACAGCAATCTCATCTTGCAGTAACTGATTTTTGTACAACAGATCCTTTTCTCGCTCACTGTCAGATTCCTGAATGACAGGAAACATGAGTAAATATCCGGGTGGGAAATAAATCTACAAAACCACTTCAGCATTAAACTGGATTTTAACATTTCTAACATTGCAACATAACTTCAAAGATGAGAGCACAATTTCAGATAAGACATAAGCTACTCTATGAACCAGTTCATGTGTCCCAGGCAGGCACAGAATGAAAGCATAACATATCCATAAATAAACATGCCAAATATATAATGCCTTTTTTCCATAAACTATAAACTAAATAATAAAATTATTTCAAATGTTTCAGGTATAAAGTATTATATTATAAAATGACAATGCTTTCTTTTCTTGTGTGTGCATGCCTTTTAAAAGATTCCCTTTTAGATTAGTTTAGCTGTGTTACCAATCTGTTAAAATCTCTGTTTATCAGGCTAAAAAGGGTATTTTCCTTTTTAAATGTCTTCTTAACACGTTTTTTTAGCATTACTGAGAGTTTGCTGTACAGGTGAATCACCCCTGGAATGCAAGAGTCTTGTATAGCACCTGTTTAGTACACAAATTTTTTCCCATGTAAACATATTCACCCTATATTTATTGGGCAGCACATCCAAGAACAAATAATTCTTCCAGGAACTTCAGATTCTTAGTAAATTCAGTAAACTTTTCAAGATTTTATTTAATATTTTATTTAATAATTTATGATTGCTTATTCTCCTTCAATTATTCTAATTAGTATCAAGAGTTTAATTCACTGCTGATCTTCCTTCATAAAACTTTAATATGTGGAAGTGGAAAAGAACTTCATACTTTGAGTTTGATAAGGGAATAAATAATTTTAAAAACCCCAAGTAATGGGAACACAGATTGAGTGTCAACTTCCTTCCTGGTCAGTCTGGATGCAGGTGTCTCACTGCGAGAAACCTTAAAAAGTGATGATAAAATGTCAAGGAAATAAAAACAAGACAGTTAAAAAAATGGCATAAATAGTGTTTTCTTTTAGCTTTCTACTCGTACACTTGCAGTCTAAGTACATACAGCACTGATATTGCTTTCCAGAACTTTTAAAGACATAAGGAAAAACAGAAGAGGTATTTGCACAGTAAAACTGCACTGGTAAACTCTAAGTAATCCATCAAGAAGCAGAAAAAATATATACATTTTATTGTAACTTTAGAACAAACATGGTGAAATTTAATAAATTAGAAAAAAAAAACTGCTTACATCTGAACTTTTTCCTGTAGTTCTTCTTGTCTCTTCTTCTAGTTCCTTTTGTCTCCAAAGGTGGTTGTTCAAAATGCCTTCTTGCAGGGCTCTGGCACTCTTTTCCTGAGAGAGCTGTCTCTGTGTTTCATCACGCTCATCTTCAACCTATAATAACACAATTAAATTACCTGCACACCTTCAGAAAAGTCAAAGCAAGCAATATCGTCCCACTCTCCCTTTTATTCTTGTAAATATTTTTGCTTTCCACAGCTACGATAATTCATCTATAAATTTTAATTTTCTTCTGAAAAATTAAGAATACAGAATGTTTTGTAATAATTGAGAAAAATAACTCAAAGTCAGGCTTTGAAATACAAACAGAAAAAAGGGAACAGACTACTTGGACACCAGTTGTTCGAAAAAATCAGGCAATAGTTACCCAATGTCTCTTCCACGAACAAAGTACCTCTTCTTTAGGCATACTGGAATACAACACCAATTAAAAAGAAGCAGAAAATAAGGTAAGTTTAAGTCATTATCTAATATACCTGTTTGAGGAGCTTTCTCAGTGTTACTAACTCCATTTCCAAATTCCTTGATTGTAACTCAAGTTGCTGTTTCTCCTCCATCTCTTTACAATATTGCTCTTCTTTTCTTCTGAGCTTCTCTCTTGTTTTCTCATATAGTGTTTCTACTCTGAGCCTCTTTTCTTCTTCTTGTTTCAAAGTAAACCTGGGATTTAACAGTATAGTTGTGAACTAAAGCACTGATATAAAAATCAGATATTCTACACTCTGAATTTCCAGAAACAACTCAAACCACAAAAACGTTAAATATTTTCAGACTTTTTATTTTTATTCTAATTTTTAACTTTTTAAGGAATTAGTACATCATTCTATTATCCATGGTATCAATTTTACAATATATGGAAAAAAAAACATTGACTGTTTTATCCCTTTCAAGTTTATCTTGGTAAATATACTGAACTATGCACATTTCTGTTACTTTTGAAGAAGTCATCTTCATATTACAGACACTTTGATCAAGGAGTTTGTTGTCATAGCAATCAAAGCAACATAAACTTTTGACTAGGATTAATATACATTTTCTTACCACGATGAGCATTGCCTGCATATTATGGATTCAGTGACTGCAAGTAATGCTGATGAAACAGTACATCACTTCTTTCTGACAGACCCACCAATTTTCTAACAAGTGTAAAACTTAAACCATGTCTGACCACAGGAAAAACACACAGTTTGTATTTGCTCAGGAATGAGATCGATTTTCAAAAACTTATTTAGAAATGCAGAGAGTTTAAGTTCAACGTGATTAGAAATAGTTTTAAACCTCTAAGGATCTACATCTGGAAGAAACAACAGCAATTTGATTTTGAAGATAATCTACAGAGATACCCTCGAGGAATATTAACTTCTTTACTAACTGAAACAAATAGCAGTAAGTACCAACATGGTAAGAAGTGGTCCACAGTGTGCCCACGGTACCCAAAGAAAAAAGCAGTTTTGTGTTTCAAAATTATTTGGAGTATTTTTTCTCATATCCTTGCAACAGTCAATAAGAAAAAATTAATATTAACATAAGGACAGAGCTGGCAAGTGCAAATCTACTTTAGAAATTCTGCAAAAACAAGTGGCAGCAGCCACTAATAAATCGTTTGAAAGACTGACAATAAGATTTGTATTTCAATGGTTTATATTGCAAGGGAGAAAGCTTTACATGTAATTTTTAGGGCAATTTAACAACAAAAAATAAAGCTTCTGTAAGTGTAATTGCTTTTATGATTTATTAGGAATTAAAATAATAATTATTATCACTTGTTAGATACTTCAGAATTTTGAAAAATAGAGCTAGGGTAAAGTTAATTTTCTTCACATGGGGCTGTGTTTTGAATTTGCGCTTAAAGAAGTTGATAATATAGATGGTTTTGCTCTTGCTGAGCAACATCTGCACAGCAACTAGGCATTTTCTGCTTCTCTTACTGCCCTACCAGCGAGGGGGCTGTGGGTGCACAAGAAGCTGGGAGGGGAAACAGCTGGGAGTGGTGACCCAGCTGACACAAGAGATTTTCTGAACCATATGATATCGTGCTAAATATATATGGTGGGCAGAAGGGGGAAGGGGGAGGATATTCAGAGCGATGGCATTTGTCTTCCCAAGTAGCTGTTACATGTGATGGAGCCCTGCTCTCCTAGGGATGGATGAACACCTGCCTGCCCACAGGTAGTGGTGAATGTTTTAGCTTTGCTTGCGTGCGTGGCTTTTGATTTCCTTATTACACTGTCTTTATCCCAACCCCCGAGCTTTCTCAGTTTTACCATTCTGATTCTCTTCTTGCCATCCCAGTGGTGGGGAAGTGAGTGAGCAGCTGCATAGGGTATAGCTGCCAGCTGGGTTTAAACCATGATAAACTGCTAGAGTCCAATTCAGGCAAAGGTGAGACTGGCTCTGTCTTCCTCATAATCCTCTTCCACATACCAGGAAAGACAACTCAAAGCTCAGTCCCCTCAGCCTCTCCTCACAGGGCTGGTGTTCCTGCTCCCTGACCAGTTAGCTAGTTCTCTGCTGAACTCACACATATCAATTAAGATGCCCCTGCTACTAGAAGGCCAAAAAATGTACGCAGTGCTCTAGATGACATCCAGTAAGTGTTCATTAGGGGCAAATAATCATTCCTTTCCATCTCCTGATCTGCTTTCATTTGCCTTCTCAACTGCCAGCTCATACTGGTTCATGTTCATCTTCTCTGGCAACACCACCGAGGTCTTCTCAGCAAGCTCACTGGCCAGGCTGTCCCCAGGATATCATCACAAGAAGATATTCCTTCCCAAGAGCAAGGTTCTGCATTTGCTCTTGCTGAATTTCCTATGGTGTGTACCAGCTACTCCTGCCTGAAGTGATGCAACAGTGGTTAAAAACCTCACATCATCCAAGTCTAGCTCAGGATTATAGAGAATGGGGAAACTCCGAGTTTGACTTTTCAAATAAGCAAACATGCAAGCAAATAAGCACTCTATGCTTCTTTAAACACTTCTGAGTTTAGAACTCTGTCAAAGTTACCTGGATTTTTAATATATATCAACAGAAACTGCAAAGACAAAAACACACACATCTCATATATATCACCTCTCTTGTAAATCTCATTTTCAAATACAAATTCTCTTGTTCTCTTCTCTTGCTATTAAAAAAAGTGAAAACATCCAGACGATTTTAGATAGCGCTAATATCCAGGTGTTTTTTCCTGACATTACATCCTTCCTTTGTAGCATAACTTGCCCATGGGATTCAAAATACAGAAAATCAAAAGACTACAATCTCCTCATCCATCACATGTATCATCAGCACCTTCTGGCACATTAACACTGACAAGGTAACATATTATCAGAACACAAGATTACATACTTAAGGCTTTGGATATCACTCTTCCATTCCACTTCTTGATGAGCTAATATGGATTTCAAATCTTGAGTCTCTTCTGCTATTAATTTTGATTCCTCCTTTTCACTTTTCAACTTTCTTACTTCTCTCCAGACTGCTGCATACCGATTTTTTTCATGCTCTATTATTTGTTCATATTTAAGAAGTATGTTTTGAATTTTCAGTAAAATAGCAGAACCTATTTTGAGATAGAAAAGAAAAAGATGCACATATGCATAAATACTTTCTAATGTGTAAATTATTTGATTTGGTGTCGGTGATAAAGTTTAAGTAGTGGGAGCTCTCTGTGAGAAGAGGCCAGGGATTGCACCATGCCAGACAGAGACAATGGACCCAACTGCAGGACACAGCTGAGCCTTTCAGCCATGCTGGTGCACCTCAGAAAAATATATTTAGGAGAAGAGAGACCACCACTCAGGCAAAGGAATAGGAAACAAATAGGAAAAACAGCTGCTCTGTGTACACACAGGTCAGTGACAAAGGGTGAGGTGGGAAGGTGTTACCTTAAATATAAATGAACCAACATACCTAGGAGTGCACACAAAGAAACCATGTTTTAAAAGAGAAACTTTTAACACCTGAGGAAAAAATGACTTTAGAGCATACCTGTATGATCCACAGTAAGCTGTTCTAAGAGCAACACAGCCTCTTTGTAGGTGGATGTTGGTAATTTGACATCCTCTGAAGTTGTGTCAGATGAATGAGTTAAATCAAGGTCATCAGTTACATCCATTTGTATGCTGACCTACAAACAATACAGTATTTTCTGTATACAACTATATAATATTACAGATGCATAAATGACTCTTTCATTCACAGTCCATATCTGATAGACCCCATCTGAGTGATTAAAAGCTGATAAAACTATTTATCAAGAAACGAATTTTACAGTACCTTATTCTTTTCACTCGCTGTTTTTGCTGCAGGTCTGGAAAACAAAAATGTATTTCAGTTCTGGAATCTTTATCTTGCATTAAGAAAAATATCTAAAGTTGTTTTGAAAATCTAATTTCAGTAGGGAATTAAAAGTAAAATTTAGTACAATAGTATTTTTAGATGTAGGTGAATACTGGAAAAAAATTATCATAATTATTGGAAGATGATTTTTTTCACAAGATATTAAGCAAATAGTTGAAATAACAGTTCACTCAAAGTGATAGGAATGACACAGCTACAGACATAGATATATATATATATATACACACATAGTTATGTGCATTCCCTGTTTAATAGTAGAGGTTTAGTTCTCTTCAGTATTTAGACTCTTTCCCTTACAAGTCAAAGAACCATAATTTTGGATTCCCTAATGTACTTAGGCTGACTAGAATGGAGTTAATTTTCTTCAGAGCAGCCCACAATGCTGTATGTTAGATTTCTGGCCAAAACAGTGTTGACAACACACCAGTGTTTTAGCTATTGTCACAGTGCTTGTTCCCTGCCAACTATTTCTGTTTCTCATTTTAGCCCCTACAGTTAGTTTAAGGTAGTCAAGAAGTCAAGAGGACATACAGCTGAAGAAAAAAAAAAAATAAAGGAAAAAGCTCAAACCCTAAGATGCATATGATGAAATAGCAAGTTTGTTCTTGTATAAGTCTCTCCTCTCCCATTTTCAAAATATAAAATATATGTTTACATATACACAGACCTTCAGGTAATTTTTCAGTACTTGTGCACATTGTCTTTATAATGAACTTGGCTAAGATGTTCAAAGATCATTAAGCAAAAAAGATATGTTTTGGAACAGAAAAGGAATCAGGTCGTTTTGTCACATGAAGGAACCACTGTGCACATCAGGTTTACAAAAACCTAACCCTTAGCTTTAGGTCAATTTTTTTCATTAAGTAAGTTTTAGTTATAATATTCCTTATGTTCAGTACCTTCCGTCCTCTTGAGAGGTTTCACTGAAAGAGCTATCATCTGGTACTCGAAAATTATTCCCACTGGAAGAGCTCATCTGCTGATTAGCCTTCTGCTTTGAAGTTTGTCCTTTATTTTTCTTTGCAACGTCATGATTCAGGGCAAATTCACTACATTAAACAGAAAGAAAAAAAAATTACCAATTGGGTAACTTTACAGAAAATATTTTTTTGAAACAGACATACTTAAGATGATGTCCAGAAGTAACTGAGATGAAAAATATTTCTGATAAAACAGACTTAACTCCAAGGACTGTGGAGTATTTGAAAGTATTTTAAAAACCTTGCCCTAGGAATGAGGGGGGAATGTGGAACCTGAACTAGATTCAGGCAGTAACTTATAACCACATTAGAGGAAGTATTACGAGCAGAGATTCCTTTGAAGGACAAACAGAAAAACACACCTGCTTAGGATTTCATAAAAAACATCAATGTCTCCTTCAAACTTTTGAGATTCATTTGGTAATATCTTTTCCCTCTTCTGAAAAAAAAAAATGCGTTTTTCTCAAATGTTTGTGAAGCAGTGGACTGCTCAGTATTGCTTCCAGCATTAAAGAAACTGGTTCAACAATATTAGAAAAACCTAAGATATTTAAGTAATCCTACAAATCAGAATTAGAGATGATGTCTTTAGTTTATACTTTCATTGGCATTTTAATCATTTCTGACCTCTCCTCAGGCGAAAAATTCTTGATAACTTTTTCTTCTGTAGTGTTTTCATCCTCCATTTTCAAACAGTCATTCTGCCTTAGTGTAAGCTTTTCTTTCATTTGCTGATTAGTAATGCTGCCTTGTGATGTATTTAATTTATCAGCATTTTCCTCTTCTGCCACTGTCTGTGTATTGAAACATCTTTCTTTGCTTTTTTCCTTCTCAACCTGAAAATAGAAAGCTTCAAGTATTAATCAGTATTTCCATAAAAGAGAAACACAATATCCAAGACTGAATAATTCAGGGTTTACCTCTGAAAAATTGTAAAATGAAAAAGAATATAGGCAAGTATTATAACAAAAATTACATTACAAAGTGTATTGTCATTGAAAGTACTCCAAATTAATTCATGATTCTGCAATGTAACAGAAGTACAGTTCTTAGAAAGAAAACAACAGAGTATCTTAAAACATGAGCAACAAAAATGTAAAAGCATTACTGATGGATTAGAGTTAGAAGGACTGCACAATGTTAGTTATAAAAATAGAAATTAAAAAATCAAGTGCAAGTGTGATTGTTTACTGCTTACCCCATGGAGGGTAGGTAGGGTAGCAGGGAAGAAGATTCCCAAACTCACAAGTAGAAACAACTCCACTCACAGCAAACAGGAATTCAAGTGAAGGGCAATGAAAACACACCATGCAGAAATCACAGCAAATGGAAAGTTAAGTCAAGACCCTGTTCAAAAGCTATTTTCATTCTTTGTTTCAGAATCAAAACTGATTTAATTGTGTGTTTTTTGTCAATGAAGTGATAACTTCTTACACTGGAACTGAGTGCCGCATACTATTAAACTGGAAAAATAGTGCGTTGTGTTTTCTGAAAAAGGGGGAAAAGGCAACTCTCCACTGCTCTCTTTATTCATAAGTATTGTACGTTCATTCAAACAACAACTGATTTGCACAAAGCATCTCCATTTAATGATGAATAGCTGAAGTGAACAGGACCATTGATATGGAGGAAGACTAAAGAATAAGGAGTAGCAGGTGAACTACCTCTTTTTGCAGCTGCACCTTCTCTTTCTCCAAAGCCAGGAATACTGCTTGCAGCATTCCCACCTTACACTTAAATCTTTCCATATCTCGTTTTAGCTCTTCATCAAGACTCCTTTCCATCATGCCACACGATTCCTCAGCACTGGTGAAAAGACTTTCAGTTTCTGTTTCTCCTATATTACTATTGATAAGGCAGTCCTTGGGAACATCATCATTAAATCCAGAGTATTCTTTAAGTTTAATTTCTGTTACAGAATGTGCATTTCCATCAGTTGTACAAAAAGGTGTTATTTTAGGAAGAGTATTAGAAATGTCACCTAAAATACTTGATTTCAAGCTATGTCTCAAGGAGTAAGCAGGACCTTCCTCTGCGTTTTTACTACTTCCATTATCATTCTCTTCTGTTTCCATAGTAGGCTTTTTTTCCTCTTCTTTTGCTAGAGACACCTTGCTGTTATCTACACTGTTAATGCCAACTTCTTCATCTGTATTCCAGATATCTCGTACATTTGTCTTTAAGCTATTATGATCAGGAAGAACTGGAAGTACAATTTCCATTTTGGGTACTTTTCCAACTAGTCTAAGTTTAATATCTCCAAATTCACCTTGGCTTTCTAACTTATTACTTGATTCTGTCACAGGAGATGAAATAATGTGAGAACTCTTCAATTCTTCACCAAAGCCATCTTCTGGTATTTCTTTCACAAGGAAAGCAGTTTTCCCAGCTTCATTTTCACCAAACAACTGCTTCAGCTCTGCTGTAATGTTCTTAAAATTTGTTTTCAATTCCCTTTTCTCATTTTCAACCCACAAACTTTCATATCTTTCTTCCCAAGGTTTTAGATTTAATTCCTTGTCAGCACTGTGCGATTCCTCATTTTTTCTTAGGGCTTTCTGATGTGAAACTTCTGCTTTGTCAGTCTGATTTTCATGCGCTGGTTTTTTTTTTAAGTTGGTAGTTTCTAAAATATATTTATCCTTAAGTAAACAGGTACAGACAAAAAGATTACCAAGAAAAAGGAAGTTACAGTTAATCTAGGTAATTTCCATTGCAAACTCATCCTATCACGTAACAGAAATAAAAACATCTAGATATTTTGAAAGCAATTTTTATAATACAAATCAAGGGATACTAAATTAAAGGTTCACTGACTCACCTTTTTCTTCAAAATAAAGGAGTTACTAGCTACTAGGCCTTATGAGAGACAATAGTTTTTCTAGGATTGGAGCTGTCTAGACAAGGGTTACTTTTACCTTTAGGCCTGCCTGCTTTCTGCAACCAGTGGCCTTTGTTGGAAAGCAATTTATTTTTTCATGTTTTATTGCTTTAATACAATTTTTCTTTGGAACTGCCAATGTTTCCTCACCTTCCTTCCTCCATTATTTTACTGTCTGTCATTTTACAATTCCCTGCCAGCTAAGCTAATACAGAGTTAATGAACATGACAACCTTTTTACTGTCCACCACATGGAGAACTGGGCCTATTTCTTCACCCAGAGTGCCGAAATGTTAAATTCCATTCCGAGCTCCAAAGAAAAAGCATTTATTAGGGAAACCAGTCCATTCCTTCCCTTATCTCAAAAGTCATGAACCCAAACTTACGTGAAAACCGTACCATGCCTCAACCAACACCCCCCAGTCTCCTCATGTCCATGACCCCACGCCCTGCTCCTCAACAGCTCTGGCTGCTTCCATCATGTGTCACATTTCTCCCAACATGCTCCTTCTCCATATGCCTCCTAGTGCCTTCCATAGAGGCCTGCAGCCTCAGTCCCAACAGGCTAAGACCACCCAGCTCCTCTCTCTCTTCTTGTAAGCCAAGCCCTTCTCTCTCTCTGCAAAAATTCCTGCTTTCAGAACAGGGAAGAAGCACCTCAGCCAGCTACCATCTGTCTTGGCTTCCCCATTCCCCAGGTTCACTGTACAACCACTACCACCTTCCAGCAGGCCTAAGTTCCATGCCCTGTTAATATTAAGCATGCTCCTCTTTCATCATACCTCTTCTATCATTCCTCTTTCATGGGTGTGGGGTAGAAGTAATTTGCTCCACTGCCCCTTGAGGTGATACCCCCTGGATAGAGGGGTCTGGAATCTTCTGTATCTCTCTCTTGCTGTAGGCCCAACACAAACAGGATGCCTGCCTTATTCCTGTCTAAAATGCCCTCTGAAAAAAATCTTTTCAAACACTTATTAACATGGCCAAACAAGCACATATTTTGCAGAGGTGGGGAAAAAGCATTGAGAAGGTAAAAAAATTTAACTTTTTTTTGTTTCATCTTCTCTTACAAAATGGAAGTCCAGGCATACTTCATCAAATAGATCAGCATACTACAGACAAATTTCCTAATTTATTTGAATGTGCATTTTGCATAGGGAAAAAAATGAATTTGACTGCACGGTTTCTCAGCACCATGCAAAAGAAAAGCAATGAACAAAGCCTAAGCAAACCAGCCAGAACCATATTAGTGTAACAGCAAGTATCCAATATAATTATAAGGGTTTTTCCCCACCATAGGAAGTCTGCATCCCATTTCACTTCAGGCTGTTATACAATCTTTATCTACAGGATTCTCCAGAGCTAGTCATTAACTGGTGAGTTTCCTTTACTTTACATGTGTTTAATATATTGTTCTTTGCTTTACCATGTATAAGACAATTTACTGATTCAGAGTCTTAATTCAAAATCTTAGGTGTTACATACCCACACTCCATAGTTTTCAATGGTATCCTTATCATCTTCTTTTTCAGCTGCTGATGACATATGAGAAGTAGATCCTGAGACCTCACCTACAGTGAAAAAACTGTATTTTGATACCAGCATGACCTAATACTACTTATTTAGAGTGCATCTTGAATTGTATTTGTGAGAAAAATTTTAACACAAAATAATGCATCCTAATATGTGAAGTCTTAGATACAAAAATTACCATAAAACAGACTGAAGATGCATCTGTGTACATTGCTTTCTTACAGGGCATTTAAAGGAAATTTGCTGAAAATCGCTGTAAGTGGTCACAAATCAACTAATCCTATTTCTTGAAGGTGCGTTATCTCAATCTCTCTCTTTGAAATGCTGTGTGCCATGCAGTAACTAGTTACATGACTCCAGCAACTGTGACTTCCCTATGTGCATATGTGCAGTGCACAAAAAAGCATGAAAAAAATCACAGCTTTGAAATATTTTAAGACCCCAACTTTACTCTATGCATGAAACAAATCTGTTGCTAGACATGGCTCTGGACTGAGTATTTCCAGCTGCTACCTTATCTGTTGCAGAAGACACAGATGGGAACTGAAAGACAGACTTGTGTAACGCTGAGAAACAATCCACGATCTGAACACTTCACTCATACTGTTGAAAACTGGATTCCACTCTTCCCTCTCTCAGAATTTCTATATAATATGGGCAGGTCACAAACTTCTAAGAAGCTCACTCTGTCTGGCAGCCTACCCTGAATCTCTGTTACATCAGAGAATTGGATCCCAGATAATCAATACAATCTAGAAGCAGCACCTCACCGTCTTCACTACTGTTCTTGTAGAAGGCATGTTGTACACCTTCAAGTGACAAGTTTTCAGAAAGAAACAAGTCTTAGCAACTCAGGTGGGGAATCTAAAAACAAGAGATGGAGGCTTTTCACCCTTATCATGCTGCACCTCCTGTCTTGCTCCATAATGCCACGGATTCTACACAATAGCCTTTCTATACACTAAGTTTCACTGCTGAAGAGGGACACAATATCCTTCCTACAAGAAAAATGAGCAAGACTGAGAAAAATAGATATGCATCATCATAAAAAGACAAAAGGGCGCAACCTCACTTGGCATTTTCTGCTCTAGGTGAGTACTTTTTCAAGCCTTCATTCCTTGAAGGGTTCTTAACATTTGACACAAACTCAAGAGTTACAACTTTATGTCTGAACTGGAGTCCGAGCTCCTCAGTCAATCATAAAGGTCTCCAGAGGTCAATTCTGCCCCCAAGTTACACAGTGTGAAGTAACAACCTTTTCCTCCCACCTCTCTGCTGGGTAAAATTTCTGAGATTTTTTTGTAGATTTGATTGCTGGGTATTTCAGCACAAGGCATTTCACAACACGCAACAGTCATTTGTGGATTGACTGCACTTTTTTCACAGGGTTGTTATGATGATCTCTTGATAACTCTGATGCATTTCAGATAGTCTGATAAATACTAAATACAATAATAACAGCAATAATTAGGGACTATCTAAGAATAATCTTCTACAAGGAACACAGGCATTTTTCCCTTTTCCTTGCTTTTCAACAAAAGGAGCTTTAGACTTTACACATACTTATAGATATCCCAATACCAAGGCATTTGCTAGTGCACATGAAGGCTCCAGCCAGCAGTAAAAACAAACAGATGTGCTGGTGGTCAAGGAACATTTGTAGGTAGCATCACAGAAATTACTGCAGAGAGTGTACTAAGTTATCACTACCAAGACTGCTGTAATCAAAGCAACTATTTAGTCTTGCCCATCAGAGAAGTTTTCAACAGCAGCTATTCTGAGTTCGAAGATTTAGGATCTTTGGATCCCATAAGATCTATTTCATATAGTGCTTAGTCAATCTTGGCATTCCTGTGTAACTGACAGAGAACAAGGGGAAAGGCAGAAAAGACGCAAGGCAACAATGTTCTTCCATCTTCAGGACTGCCTGAAAAGGGGAGGTGACATGTATGCTGGAGGATGCAAACATCATGGAATAGTAGATGACAGGAGGGAGCAAACATGTACAGGTACATATTTCAGTAGTCCTTCTGTTTCCAGAACACCTTGTTAGAACCAATAATTTAAAATTGGGAAAAAATTTGCAATTACAATGTGTCCATGAAAGAACGGGACAAAGGGACAGTCATGAATACCTTCAATATCCTCAACATCTTCTAAATCAAATTCCTGCAGAAGATCTGCAAAACATAAAACAGATGCCTTATTAAATACTCCTAAAAGGTTATGAAGCTAAAGTCAGAACCTCTTAATGCAAATATTACCTGATTTCTGCTGCCTGTTTTTAGGAGAAGTTTCATTCATTTTCAAAGCAGATACGGGAGTCTTCAGCTATGAAAGACAATTCAAGGATAAAACACTAAATTCAAAGTAACTGCAAACTAGTTAATGAGCAGAGTAAGTAGTCAGTCTGACACAAACACTTACCTGTGAATTGTTGGGTTTCTCCAAAAAGCCTAAAAGTGAAAAATATTTTGGGAAATGTTATTTTTCAAAATTGTGGGTACCTTTTACTCTATTCAACATGAGTAGTTTCTACAAATAAGTATTCGTCACAAGCATTATTTCATCAAGAGTACAACACTGAACATTCCATTTATCTCATCACGTAGCATGTGTCTAAGTATACAAGCAAAGAACAATCCATACTTCCCACCATGCACTTTTAATTAAAAAAAATTATCACATAACTAGGACAATATAGGTGAAGCAGTAAGGTCATGCTTGTTAACAGAAAAAGATTAAAATATTTAGTCCTTTCGAGGCGCTGAATCCTGCTTTCCAAAAGGATTATTTCAAAAGCCAAAGCTGGTCTGCTGTAATGAATGATCATAAAATAGCATTATGACTGGGATTATTCTGCAAGTGCTCAATATTGAGGAGCATTTTCCTTTCCACTGATGGGGCTAAGAAAGCATAGGTGCAGACACAGAAACCTCATATATGTCTAAAAAGGTAAAATCAAGGCAGTCTTCATCAGATTGTTGTAGTTTAGCTTGCAAGGGAACAACAGAAACAAATGTTGTTCAGTTTTAATTACTTTTATAACACAGTTCCAAATATTTTTTATAATTTTGTCCAACACTAAATGATTTCCAAACCCACACACAATCCCACCTACATTTCTCAAATCCTCTGCTTAAGTCATATTACAGTTTACATATTACATTTACAGTTTAGTTTCTCACTAAATAAGTATATGAAAGAATACTTAGAATTATTTAGAATGGCTCCATGGCAAAAACTTTGTATTTGAATACATTTTTTATATTAAAAAAACCCAAACTAACATTAAAAAACAAACAATATTCAATTTCAGTAAATGTGGTGGTTCAGCAGTGTGGAAAGACCTTAAAAATGTTACTATAACCATCTTTTACTATCTTTTCACACTGATCCTAAACTTGTCTTAGTAGAAATCTTGTCTAAGCAGAATTCCATGACAAATGGTTAACAACTACATTTGAAGCTCCTGGAAGCTTGTAAAGTTTTGCTCAAGATGCTCAAGAGAAAGCGTCACAAACTACAGGCAGAAATCCTCAACAAAAATCCCTGTAATTGTAGTCCTATTTTAGCTCCTGAGCAAAGCACAATATAAAGCTATCAAAATGCTATCAAAGGTAAAGCTAGGGGAGACAAAAATGCTAATCGAGATCATAGCTGTCTTCAGCTGCATTATCGTCTAAGAATGTTGTGCTGGTTTCACCTGGGGAGAAGAAACTCAGAGAGTTCTCTCTATGAGAACTCCCTCTGGGAGCTGATGGGACCAATTAAAGGCTGGTTCGGTTATTAACAGTCTGAGAAACCAATTGGAGAAGTTAGTTCGCTCCGTGAACACACATTTTGAAGGCGGTAACCCGGGAAAAAGCTCTCTTTTATTTCCGGTGGCTGAGCAGGTCACAGCGGCCCGGGCTCCCTCCCTTGGGGGGCTCAGAGGCCGCTGGGCCCCGTTTGCAAACCAGGGAACCCGATGGCCGGGGGGAGGAAAGGCTCATTGATAAAACCTCAGCCCTGCTCCCTCCCCCGCGGGCCCGCGGCTCTGGGGGCCCCGGCTCCTGCTGCTGCCTCGGAGCAGCTTTGGAGGGGCCGAGCCCGCCCAGCCCCGCACGGCCTGGGGGAGGCAGCCGGGCCTGTGTGGGGAGCGGGGGGGGCCATGGGCAGTGTGGGCTGGAGCTGAGCCCCAGAAAGGCTGATGGAGATCTCAGCCATCCCTCACCCAGCGCGGCCTGGGCCTGGCCCAGCCCTGTGACTGCTGAGTGAAACTTTAACGCTTTAGTGCTCAGATAAGATTTGCAAAACCTCCAGCCTTTCTTTGAATAGGAGAGGGGAAAAAGGAGATTCTCCAAAGTCAGTGAAGCAAGAGCTAACTTTCTTTAGATGGAAGGAGAATGAGGCGATGCTGTGAAGATGGCTGAAAAAAATCCTTTTGTAAGACTGTAGGGATGAACTGATGTACTGAATATTCCTATAAACCATGGAGAAAGACATCGGTGTTGGAGATGTTCCATTTGATAGACCGTTAATCAAAAAAGCATCTGTGTTGAGAATCCTTCACCCTGAGCAGAAAAGGGGATCTTTTTTTTTTTTCTGGAGATGAAGCATGAACAGAGAGAAAGATAAGAGAAATTTGGTTTGGAACAGCTCATTCTTAAAAGTAAATACCCGATGAGTTTAACATGGACCATAAGCACAGCTTTGGGAAAGCTGTGAAGATGAGAGGAGCTTCACAACTTTGCAGGGTTTTTTTTTCCCAGGCGGATGCAAATTGTCAAAGTGAAGCCACGAGAGGACTGGTTTTTTTACCCCTTCTTGTGGAGAAGTCCCTATGGCCTGACAACAAGAAACTTCTCTCCCCGAAGTGAACTGAAAAAAGGACTATTTAAATTGGGAACTGACTGAAGGAGATTTTTGTATGTTTGTTTTGTTGTTATGAAGGTTGGGAGAGGGAAGGAGGGAGTGATCTGAAGATCTTATTCTGCATTTGCTTTTCTTTCTCTTTCTTTGTGTAGTTAATAAAGTTTTTTATATCCTTTTAAGTTTTAGGCCTGCCTTTTGCTCCTGGTTGTGTCTCACAACAGAAAATGAGTATATTTAAATATATATGGCAAGTTAAAACTATAAATATTGAGAGAGGTCAGCTCTTACAGACATACACTGTCATTGCTATGAAACAAGAACCTGAATCAAAAAAACTATAGATACTCACCTGAAGAACACAAAAAATGCAAAGAACTTCCTTTACAAACTGGCCAGCAAGTGCTGTGATTACTGGCATTAATTAACAAACAGTAAACACTTCACTGGTATGGTTTGCACTCACATGATGACGGCATTTCTAAGACAGACACTGATAAAAGTTTACTACATATGCTTACTGACAAACATTAGCCCACCAGGAAGTTACCATTGTCACTTTGCCCTGAAACAAACTGGGAGCATGGTCCATGTCTCTCTGCAGCTGACAGCAGCACACCACATGGTATTTTTCCTGGCATTTCAGAATCTGCCTGTGTAACCTAAAACATGAATGAGAATTGGTACAAATGCATTTTCAACTCATTTCTATACAAAAAGTTCCTGCTAAACCAATTCATGTAGCATGGTATCAAGTATAATCTAGACACAAAAATGTTTTTTAAGGCCCTTGACAAGAATCCATCAAAATACAGTATATTGGAAAATCACAGCAATTGTGTTTGTTTTTAGATCTTTAGGCAAAAACTTCACACCACTATTCTGCCACACTGACAAACCTTGACAAACTGGACAACCACTAGCAAGAATTAACATGGTAATTCAAGATACAGGTTGTGAACCAACAGCTGCATGTCTGCAGTGGTCCAATATTTGTACTGAACTTGTATCTGACATTCAAGTTGGTACTGACATTCCCATGGCATATATCCTGCAGTGGTGAATGAACGCACTGCTGCTCCCAATTGCAAAAGCCATTTGGATTGAACAAAGGTTAGTAAGACAGAGCTTACAACTACCTTAAAACTAATGTTTTAACCTTGTATTTTTAAGAAGGGGATGGGAAGAATTCTTTCTTCTCAAAAGAAGAACCAGAGGGACTCAACTACAGACCTTGCTGACTGCCACAGGCAGAAAGAACGAAAAAGGCAAACAAGGCCAGCACGTGCAGTGTCTCTGCTGAACATGACTTTAAAGAGGGCCAGAGTACACCTACAAAACGTAGAGAGGATCTGTTCAGAAGCAGCTAGATGACATTTAGGTTGTAAACCCCAAGAGCAACAGCTAACCAAGTCACCAGACTAGGTCTATATGGTGAAACAGAAACAATCCTGCCAGCCTCTGTGAAAAGGTCAGAGTATTTTAAGCAGCAAGGAACTTCACCGTTTCAGTACTATACTAGAAACTAAACTCAAAGGCCAACTGCTGAGACCCAAGCCATTAGCTCAGCTTAACTTCATCCCAACCCTAACCAAGCAGTTGGCCTAGAGCAGAAGTATTTCAAGGGCCCCCAATTACAAATATATGGCAAAAGGAAAAAAAAGAAGAAATAAGCCTTATCAACAGTAATGTCCAAATCAAAAACAAGCCGTCAAGTGATTCTGGATCTTACTCCTACTTCCTGCAGTGGAAACTTGTGTCCTTCACAAAAAGTACCTCAGAATCCCAGGGAGATTCATCATCTTCCTCTTGCTCTGCTCCCACTGTTGGAAGAGCACCTACAAATAAGGTAAGAGTGAGATGCTTGAGTTTTTGTACATCCAAAAATGCAGGTTCGATTGATGACGACAAACTAAGACGCAAGTTTTATTCAAGTGTTTCTTCCCACCCAGACACATCATGTTATCTCCTTTACACTTCCAGCTCCTTCTGCTTCCTTTCTAACAGAAGATGTCTATGCACAACAGCTGACAAAGCTAAAGGCAATATCCAACACGCTTGGGTAACATTCAGGAAGATAATCCAGTATCCTGCAGTTCTGTTGTATACAGTTAAGGTCTCTCCAGCCTACAGCTCCAATATTTGGCATTTGCTATCACTTTCCACTATACAGGGGGTACCATAGAACCACTATCCAAAACCTCCTCACTCTAATATCCACAAAGTCACGAAGAAACAATGCTCCCTTTTTTGTATTACTAGGAAAGATCTTCCCTGATGAAGTTGTTAGCCAGCCCCTTTCCAGAAGCTAGACACCTAAGTATTGCCATTTAAAAGCAGAGGCTGCTCACACCTCGAACACTTAACTCAAAAACACAGAAGTCATTTCTGTCCTGGGGGAGGTTAAAACTCAAACCTCTTCTCTACCAGACAATTTTAAGGTTCAGTCTCAGGGGGTTCCTAGCCAGATTTTACTATCATATTTCTATTTTAAGCTACTCCAATAGGAAAAAACTGATTCAGGATTCAATTGTGTGGACACATACACATAAAAGAAGGAGGAAGGAGCTGAATGCCTGTGAGGGTACTCACTCCACAAGAGGCAACTGATGGTTCCAATCTAAACTGTGACTCCTTACACTTTGCCAAATACATACTTATGGTAAAACACATATAGACAGACGAGCAGGTATAGGCACAACACTAGAATATAGCAGGTTCTGCCAGTGCCCCCTGCACAGCATCTGAGCAGCAGCTACACATGCTCTAGTAACATCCACTACAAGCTACTCTCTGGAGACAGACAATGGAAATGGTGCTTTCTTTTCCTACTGTCAGACCTCAGGTAAGTACCAAAGTTCTTTACTTTGACTAGGCTGGTAATGTTTTCAAGCACACACATGTGGTGCTGGAGAGACCACCTACACTTTAAAACCGTACAAGGTGAGGCACTGGAACAGCTTTCTCTCAGCTTGACTCAAATCCTTCCCAGGCTTCAGTCAAGATCAATCACAGCCTTTCAATGTGACAGTACTCATCATAAAAGTTGTTGTCACTCAAGACATTCTAGTCCTCTTTCTCTTTTTCATCTGTGCATTTTGTTCAGATCACTTCAGGGAGAATGCAGCAACATATCAAGAATGGCACTTGCTTCATATTGCATTGCTTGGTATACAATGCTACAATTTCAGTTCCTTTAAGAATGAATGAAAAGCAACACAATCTGCTTTTCTTCTCTATGCCAGTGCCCATTAGGACTCACAGGCAAGAGAAATTTTGTTACCATAGGAATCAATCACCATTTCAGTTCGTTTTCCATGCATTAATATTTGCAGATTAAGAACTTGGGTCAGGATTTACAAAGTCTTTTCTCTCACCGGAGTTGTCCTTTGAAGCTTTGTGGACTTCATGTGTATCATTACAAACAGAATTCTTCACATCCTCAACAACTGTAGTTTGTAGCTTTTTTCCAGGGCCCTCCTTCTCCTCTTCTTTGTGGTCAGATGATTCTTCCTAAAAGAGATCAACCAAAACAGCTGAAAAGAACAGTAAAAAAAATCATCTTTGCTGTTCTTCCATAAGTAATTCCTCATGTCAGTCTAACTCTAGCTTCATTTAAATTACAACATTCCAGAGCATATTTCTTTTTTCCCCTCTACTTTGCTCCACAGAAAATCATCAGTTTCCTGCTCTCCATCTTATGCAAAATTCTTTTTGCTTCATCACTTTCAGCTATCACACCATGAATTTTCCTAAATGGTAGTAAAACTTCACAGATAAGAACTGTAACACAGAACTGATAAAAATCTAACTGGTTCCAGAGTCTACTGCCTGTTCTTTTTCCATACTATATTACCATACCATAGCAAAGAAACGGTTTTGACTCCAAGTAAGATACTAACATCAAAAATGGATGATGAAAAGATGGATATATGTGAAAGATAAGCATTAAAAGAAATCCAGTTTACTATGTGTTTCTTACCTATATGACACTTAGAAAACACCCTTGTGATTGAATCATCTTTATATACTTACTTCAGTGCTTGAATGAAATGCTGCTCTCAAATTTTCTTCTTGCTTATTTAAGTGCAAGTTTTCACTTTCTTGTTTCAGTGGTTTACAGACTTTATTATCTACTCCTTCATATTCCTCTTCAGTATCTTCACCATCCACATGTTCAAGTATGACAGAGGTTGGTCTTTCACTTTCAGATCCTGGGTGTTTTTCTGCTAACCAAGAATTACTGCCACTTTCAAAACCATCAGTGAAGTTTGACTTTTTCTCCTTAACACCACAACTATCTAAGAGAGGCTGAGGTACCTCTTTTTTCCAGTCTGTCATTTCAGAGTCTGCAAAACAGGAGTCAGCCTTTCTGTGAAATGTCTCCTCAATCATGCTTTTCCTGTTCCAGCTTTCTTGCATATCTTGCAGATTATTTAGATTTTGAAAGACAGCTTGTTTTGGTACTGACTTGCAAGATATTTCATTATTCATGATCTTAGGAGACACCACCGTTTTATTTTCTTGAAATTTTTCACAAGACCCAGCTATGAAAGACACAGGAGTATCAACAGATTCCTTCACTTTTTCATCATGTTCATCATCACAGACATCTCCAGTTCCACATCGAGCATCTCCTTCACACTTTGCTTTACTGAAATACTCTAATTTCTGATTAATTTCCCCTTTAGATTCTGTTTTCTCTTCTTCTAGTATTTCATTAGACTGAGTTTCTTCATCTTCCAGGTCTTCCTCCTCCTTTTCATCTTCAGTAAAATCTTCCTCCTCCTCCTCCTCCTCCTCTTCCTCCTCATAATCTTCATCACCATCTCCATTGTAATTTTCATCCTCTTCGTCCTCTTCCTCCTCCAATTCTTCTTCATCCTGGTTGCTTGCAGCTGAGACATCTTGATTAAACAATTCCTCACTGTCTCCTTTGTTCACACTTGCACCTGATGGCATTCTTTGTTTGAGACTTTTCTTTGGTGACTTAGGAGTTTCAATTCTAGAACCACCACCATCATCTTAAAGTACAAAAAAAGAAAAATGCATGTGAATATAAGGAATTATGTAAACAGTAAGTGGCATGTTATCAGATTAATGTACAAGAGGAGCCATTTGGGAATCTTTAGAAATGGAGAGGTAAGGCTGGGCACGATGGAGGATGAACTTGATGATGGAAAAGGGCTTAAGCGGGGATTAATATCTTCATTTTAATTACTTATTTTTAATTATTAAGTGCCACATTTACAAAATGCTACTTTTCTCATTTACTATTTAAAAAAAAAACCCAAAACCAACCAAAAAACCTACTTAGCAAGTCTACTTTGTACATCAGTATATCATGCAACCTTTTGCAAATAACTTACTGTTTTTCCTGAACTGCTGTGAAGCATTCATTAACAGTGTCAGGTTTGGCTTCTGCAGCTTCTGTAAATAAAGATTTAAGAATTTTTTTTAAACAGTAACAACAACAAATCCTTTGTTCACATCAAATCTTGAACAGTAAATATAATCAGACTGTCCTTATGATAGTGCTGGCTCCATCCTATACTTCTAACTACACAAACACTCCTCTCATATCCAGTTCAGTAAGTATTTCATACTGTGCAGGCACCCTTCGGCAAATTGTTTCCAAGAATGTTCACGTGCATAGCTGTTCTAAAAATCTGTTTCTAATATTTGTAATACTTAAGTAAAATTCAATTATATTTAGAAGTGCATTTTCAGGATGCTTACTTGCAAACGTGCACAAGGTAAGTAACTATTAAGATCCCCATACTTAATGTATAAATTTAGTCCTGGCAAGTACACTAAAAAAATACCCCTAAATTTCAAAATCATGGCAGAAAAATGCATCATTTATATCTAAATCAGTGCAAGAAAATGAAATCAGGTTATATCTAAACATGCTTGCATCTCCAGCATTACAGAGTGGGTTGAACTACCACTCAGGTTCTATATCACTGCACAATGCCAGTGCAACAGAGTTGATGCTCCAGACATCACTGAGAGGTTGATAATTCTAAGGCTCATTAGTAAAAACAGCAGGCATGAGAGTTTGTAACTAACAAAAAGAGTACTACCCGAGCATTGGGAAAAAAAAAAAAAAAAAGAGGAAAAACATGCAGTGTGAGATCGCATGCAAGTACTGAACGTCATCTTATAGAAGAAAATAGATGACCCATTTGAGTAACTCATCTGTTCATTGAGCACTCTTGAAGAACCTGCTGAGGAAAGGAGAACTAGGTGATGAAGGATTTTTGTAGATCTTGATAAATAAATGTCTCTTATCACTTAGGAATCTATCCCAAAATTTACAGAAAACAGTAACAATGATTGGAGAACAGGATAGATTATAATAATAACTTACAAATTTTTGACGTCTGCAAATCAGACTCACATGAACAAGAAAAAATAGAACTATGTGGTTATCTTGTCACCTACTGCTTTTTGGCTCCAAATTACAAATCTACTGTATACTCTGTCACAGCTACATGTCCTTTACGAAAAACTCACAGCAGAAGGAAGGCTGGTAGGCCAGAGATTGCTTTAAACAGAAAACAATATTGGCTGGGGCTGCAGTTTCTTTCAGTTCCAAAGAAAATTTGCCTTCAAACCCCTTATTTTTACAAGATATTTTTCCTGTAAATGCACCATACCTTGGGGGTAAAATCAAGTTCCTCTTCCTCAGAGGTATGCCAACTGTCATCACTCCCCTCCTTCTCAGAGCTTCTTTAAAAGCAAAGCAAAATGAGTACTGCGTCTCTCAAGTCATTCCTCAAGTAAGTGTTAGGTATTTTTAAAGTCTCACCTTATTGAGTCTCCTTGAGAGAAGTCATCTATTGCTGTTCAAACATTAATTGAAATGTTGAAATTAAATTTAGCATGCTAAAAATTAACCATTTAAAAATTAAACATTGAACATGGACAACTCTACACATCATAACAGAATGATGCTTTGGGTAGTAAATTCAGTACAAGGGGCATAAATGACTGCATTTCCAAAATAAACAACACTGCATTATTTAAAAAAAAAAAAAGGGAAAGAAAAAACCCAGAGCTATATCTCTTTTGGACTCTTATATCTAGAAGTTTAAAAACTACAGAAATGCACCTAACTAAAAAAGAAAAAAAATTTAAAAAGCATAACATTAATATCCTACATTAGTAAACAAATAACAAAATGGTGGTAGTTTAGCAAGACATTAAGAACTTCCAAAGTACTCATCTTACACACAAGGACACATCACTAGTAGAGATTTATTACTTTATGTAGCATTATGTGTAACACTACACCAGGTATTACACTATCTGCTGGTCTACCCACTTACAGATTATTTTGCAATGGTAATGAAAATCAAAAAGCATAATCAAGCTCTAAAGCTCAAGTAGAAGAATCACCAACAGTTCTGTACATTGCATCAAACAGGGAATTCAGCAGACACAAGTGGCAAACCCAGGACATTCTATAGCACACTCCAAGCTTTCATCAGTGTTACAAACATGACCTGCACGTAGGATAATAGGATAAATCACGTCAGAAGGAACCTCAGGAAGTCTTAGCCAGCCTCCTCAAAGCAGGCTCAGTTATGAGGTCAGGTAAGGCTGTTCAGGGCTTTATCCAGTCTGGTCTTAAACACCTCCAAGGAGACAGACTGTACAACCTCTCTGTCTTACTGTTCCCACATTCTATTAGAAACTATTTTGTTGCCATTTATGCCTGTTATATCTCTGCCTCCTGTCACGTACCACTGGGAAGCACCTGGCTTTGTCTTCTCACATATACTAGAAGCTGCTGCTAGGTCCCCTGCAAATTCACTTCTCTAGGCTGAAAAAATCCTAGTTCCCTCAACCTGTCCTCAAAGGGCAAATATTCCTATCCCTGATGAATCTGATGGCCTTCTACTGAACTTGCTCACTGTTGAAAGACAAATCTCTCTTGCACTGGAGGTTCAAATTACACCCAGGGCACTGGACACAATCCAGAGAGTACCAAGTAGACCTGGATAATCACCTTCCTCAATCTCTTGGATATGCTACTCCTAAAACAACTCAAGACACTGTTGCCAGGGCACCCTGCTGCTGGTTCATTCTCAGCTCACTCTGCCAAGACCCATCAGGCTTTCTCAGCAAGGCATCTCTCCTGCCAGGCAGTGCCAAGCATGCTTTGTAGCAAGGGGTTGTACCTCTGTGGGCAGACTTTGCTTTTGCCCTGGCTGAATTTTGCTAGACAGGCCTGACAGTTCATTTACACAGCCTGTCAGAGTAAATGCCTCTGAAAGACAGCACTGTCCTGAACTGCATCTAATGATCCTCCCAACTTAGGGCTATTTGCAAACATGATGAGAGTTCACTCTAGCACATCACTGATCTACTAAAGAAACCTGAACTCCAGGAATCCAGCTGCAAGAGTGATAGAACCTCTCAATTATCAACAGCTAAGATGAAATAAAATGGCTCTTCAATTCCAAAAACTGAAGGGGAAAACAAACACAACTTCCACATAGTAGCTATTTCAGCATGCCTCAAGTTCTTGATAACTAATTCTTATTAACTATTATAACAACCAATCCAAGGTCTTTAGCAGAATCATTAAAGGGAAAAAAAAACAAAGGCATATCATGCCTGAAGACATCTCCTCTGCTAGCATTAGACACAAAAGAGCATGAAAATTTTGTCTGTTCTAAAGACAGGGTACATATGGGAATTTTGATGAGTACCTCTCCTGACCTGCACTGGGCTTTTGGACAATGAAATACAGGTGTATGTCATGTAGAGAAAAGCAAGAAACTGAAACAAGGACAAGCTAACAGTTAAAATACCAACTCAGTCTCTAATTTCTACTGTCTCCTATTGCAAACACGCAATATTTAAATAACATTAATTAGTTGAACATACCACAGTTTCCTGTAAACTCATTCAGTACCAACAGTCTAACCTACCTGCTGATGTCCCAAGATCAATAAAAATTTCTCCACCCACGTGGAGCAGTCAGTTATCACTCTTGATGGGTGACTTCAGTTATACTTTCAATTATTACAGTTACAAGTAATCAAAAGAGCTCAGTAAATTTTCTGAAATTTTGATTCCAATGAATAGATTAGGTCAGTTGGGTAGAGCATGGTGCTAATAATACCAAGTTTGTGGGTTCAATCCCTGTATGGGCCATTCACTTAAGAGCTGGACCTGATGATCTTTGTGGGTCCCATCTAACTCCAAGTATTTGGTCATCTGTGAATAGTAACTTTAAGCAATGATCAAGACGAAGTCTTTAGAAGGCAAGAGACAAAGTTTGAGAGCTACCTTTCAGACAGAACTCTGACTACAATAGATATGGGATCTAGAAAAGCAGTCTCTGGAGATTGCTTGTTTCTACTTTAACTCAAGCCCACTGCCATTTCAGAGTAACAGAAAGGCTTATTTAAAAATTTATTTACTATCACTAATGACACAAAGCAAATTCAATAATAAAAGAACCAAGACAAAACATGCAAACAAAGAAAAATCACACAAAGCCTGACCTCAAATGCAGTTCATAAAGCCATTACCATCAAAATAGGGACCTCCAGGATAATAAACATCATAGATGTGTTGATATTTGTATACTGTACAACATGTTTCATATTTTAAATGCTACTGTATAAAATACCTTTCCTTGATTTTCCTGTTCTTGATGTCTGGTTAGGAGATTGTTGCATTCCTATATCCATTTAGGAAAAGGCATGGAAAGGACAGATGGAACAATGACATCAGAATAAACTGGAATTTCCAGAAACTTGGAAAACATAAGCACTACATCAAAACAGCTACAACAATGGGAGAACATACTGTGACTATCAGCCTATTCTAGTTAGAAGTGGTGGAAACAACACAAACACAATCTACAGAACTCTGCTCTCAAGGGACAGTGACAAACAGTAACTTCATGTACTTGCTCCACATAAAACATCCATATTTCAGTATTTTGAAACACTGAAACATATCATCAGAAATACACTCTCCTGACAATTTCATATTTCCCTCAATTTCACTACTCCTTGTCTAGCAGAGATGCAAATTAAATTCCTTCATGGTTGTAGAGTGCATTACACACACAAAAAATTCCTTATTTTAAGCATCTCAAACTCCGTATATGTCAAACTTGGGAGACTATCCGGAAGTTTCAACGAAGTCTTGGCTTCCTGTACTCAGACCAGCATGCAACTTTGAGACACTATGTTATTTATACACACTCATCTTAAGTAACAGTTTTAGCACAGTTTTTAGTTATCCCTCACTAACAAGGAACCCAGAAACTTGTTGCCTTAAACCAGCTCATCTTAAAAGTTTTGTCAGTTGGTGCCTGTTACAAACACAGGCCAGTTCTACCTCAGTTTGAACAGCCCTGCTTACGTTCATTTGACCATGCTGCACCATTCACATACAAAAGCTATGCCACCAGCCAGGACACAGCCAGGACAAGAAGGCAGCACGTTCCCCCAGGGCTGTAGAGCAGGTCACAACTTGACCAAAATGGGTGTACTGACTGGGGTATCATGCATGTGTTTGTGTGTGTATTTATCTATGTGCTGTGGAATGCAAGTTCAGAATATAAATCACTGTGATTCTGCTCTACCCATTCCACTTAGTAAAATTCTGTATTTTTAATAATTTTCTAAAATTTGTAAGGCAACAAATCATTCTGTTATTACAGCTGACACCAAATTTCTTCACGATGTAACATTTCTCTCTGAGCAGAACAGAGTCCTACTTACATTGATTTTACCACATGGAATGAATATGGCAAAATTACTTGTAGCAAAACAAAATACATTTAAAGAGTTAATAAAGGACCTCATGATGGTTTCTCACCCCTTCTACGTTTCTGAGTTTTCTGAAGAGATAATACAGGACAGCTTTTTACTGACCTTGGGAGATAGAAACCACTGAAGCACTTGATTCTTTTCTAAGAACTCGATGATGGAAACCCAACAGTTTCCATAGGGACCCAGGAACACGAAAGGAACAATACACTGCACAGTAAATATTTAAATAAACAAAAGCCAACTTTTGAAGTAGGCTGAATTGCTTACTAGAATAGAGTATTTTGAAAAATATTCAACAACTGCAAAAGCAGCAAAAGGAACAAGGACAACACTAAAGATCCCAGAAGAGCAACAGAAATGAAAAAAATTCCAAAATGGGTTTCTCTGTTCTCCTGAGATCATTCCAAATTCTCCTGTAACAGAGGCTTCAAAGTCCGTTACTGCAGCATATCAGAAGGACTCTCACGATACAGGACCTGTACTTCCTGTGTGCAAGCTAGAGACTGCAGAATTAATGCAGGTAAATATTCTCCATATGTTAGTAATCTCACAGAGACAGTAACAGTGTGCATTGTTTGGGCAAAATCAACATTTTCCTGATTAAACCACCTGTACCAAAACCTTTAAAAAACAAAAAATTCCTGCCATCTATCAAGAAACTTTCCAAATCACTGACTAGGTCAAATCAAGCGTTCCTAAATCAAAGGAAAAAAGTCTGACTCTAAATTAAATTCCTGTATCTATGAAGAGTCAGCAAGGAAAAATATCCCATATTTTGCTCATTTTTCTTGACATATTTAAAAATGGTGTAAGGAACAGTATTTAAAGGAATAATGAACTGTGTTGAACACTGTCTTCTGCCCATTTGCCACACAGTTCCAAAGTATCACCCTTAAAAATTTGTAAGGAATAAATTCTTCTACGTGTAGGGCTTGAGATGCAAAGTACAAGGCAAACTATTTCATTTATACTAAGGTATTCATTTTCTAAGATTCCTCAAGGACTCTGAGCTCATAACCATAGACTGGATTTTTAAAACTCACTGAAGGAGCTAATTTTTTGATCACGCGGCAATTTAATTGTTTTTCTGGATTATAAGGTAATAATTATTTTCTAAAAAAAAAATCATAAAAACTACTGGAAGTGGAAGAAAAGCATTATCTTTATTGTAAATCAAACTATGTTCTAGCAAATACAGCATACACAGACACTGCAATGTTATTGCCAACAAAGTTACTTTTCCAATATAATACTTGCTAAGTATGTCTCTACATGGAAACAGTTATAACTGATTTTGAGAAATAGGACATGCAAAAAGGACCTTAGTGCAAATGGAACTATTAATATTAAAAGGAAAACACAAACTCCATGAAAATCAACAAGACACGTACCTTTCTGCTCATTTCTCTGTTGCTTCCCAACTACAGAAAGAGGAACAACTACTCAGGTGGAACCCACTGCTTTTGTAATTGGATTTTCACAATCTGAGTTGCCATCTCTAGGTAAAAGTACACACTTGAAAAGTAAAAACAATTTTGCCTAGTTCCTTCCCTATCTTCCTTCTCTCTCAAGGAAAACCCATATAGATGTGCAGTCTGACAGACAGAAAGTAACAACTCTAAAAAGCGAACACAGAATGCAAAACAAATGCTTTCACAGGCTGACAAGCAACACTTCTAACTATCATCAAATAATCACATTCACAAAGTTGGTGCTACTCCATCTGATGCCTCCACTAAAACCAACAATGAACACAGTAAGCACTAACAACACAAACCCACTAAGAAAAGGCCACACTGATTCTCCTCATGAGCTACTCCATGGTGAAGGGTCTTACCTCCTCTGTCCACAGCAGGTGCACCCAATGTAAAGCCAGCAGCTGCTGCCCGATGTGGAGTGCCAAGTGCTGCGATGCCTCGTGCACCTCCACCTGTAGAAGCTTCTCCTGTGTTTTCCCAGTCTGCATATTCTGCCAGTTGTTTACTAAGACTGTACAGAGAAAAAGAGGAAATACGTTAGGTAAAAAATAATCACATACCTCCATTAATTATTTAATAGAAGAGTTAACAGCCACTTCTTATCCAACTTATTCTTATCCTATCCTTAGCCATATATATTTATATACTCATATGCCCTTACAGCATGACTATTACACACTTCAATATTCACTACAGTCAAGTTCACTCTGTAGTCATATTCAAACCTACAAAGGTATTAACTCCTGCTTGGTATCTCCAAGAAGTTTCACCTCTAGATAACTGGATATGGACATATTTGAGAGTTTATATTGAGCAAATGTGAGCTTAGAAATAAAATTTGAACTCTAACAGAGAACTTTGGGTAGAAATTTTCCTCAACTTCCAAGTTAACACTAGACAGTGGAATGATACATATCAGAAGACAAGAGCAAATGGCCACAAGTTGTGCCAGGGAATATTAAACTGGATATTAGGAAAAATTACTTCAGTGAAAGGGTTGTCAAGTATTAGAACAGACTGACCAGTGAAGCTGTTGAGTCACCAGCCCTGGAGGTATTTGAAAGATGTTGCAGATTGGCACTTAGGGATGTGGCTTAGTGGTGGGCTTGCAGTGCTAGGTTGATTCTTAGAAGCCTTTTCCAATCTAAATGATTCTATGAAGACATGACTGAGCACACTTTCAACACAAGTCTCAGCACACTATTAAACCTTGGTGCTGTTACCAAAAATTATCAAAACCCACACTGATAACTGACAACTTACTCTAATGATACAGTTTAAAATTTACCTAGAATATCCATGAATAACAGCATAATCCTCAGCTGTCCATCCGTTAGTGTCTTTATGGGACACATCAGCCCCATACCGCAGAAGAACCTTTATCAGACTAAGCTCTCCACCAGAAGCAGCAGTCATAAGTGGGGTTCTGAAGGAGCCAAGAGATATTATATGAACAGACTGTTTCACACAGTCACTGTAATTATTTTTGTTTCTGTTTACCCTCAAAAATTTTTTCTCTCCATTACTTTGATATGAACAAAAGAAAAAGTATTTTTCATAAAAAGAAACAATAAAATGGGAGAGGGTCTCAAAACAACTAAATGTTTCATCTTAAAACAAAACTTCGACACAAACAACACTTACAAACTCTACTACTATGCAGAAGATGACTTTTCAATTTGAGGGAATGCCACTGAGCTAGTGACAGGCTTCCTGCCAGAAAGGCCATCATAGACAACAACATTTTGCAATCCCCAATGTAGAAAGCATCAAACAAGATATGACAGCAAGCCACTGAGGTATGATCATCTTTCACAAATCACACAGAAGTAACTGCTTCTGTGTGGCTCCTTGTTTTGTATATTTTCAGACCTCATTCCCATGCCTCTCTCAAGCCAAACTGAAGACTATTAAAGAGACCCACGTAAAGTTTTGACAGACCCTCACCTTTCACATAGATCTCGAGCATGCACATCAGCTCCTTTTTTAAGGAGTAACTCCATTATTTCTTCATGATGTTCAGAAACAGCAAGAATAAGAGGCGTATATCCCTCCTAAAAGGGCAGATAAAGTTAAAAATTAAAGTTAAAAAAAAAACCCAAACAAACAGAACTTCAAGAAAAATATGAATGCAACTTTTGGAAAGCACGTCATTAACAGATATAAAAAATTACCTTATTTTGGGCCTCAATACTGGCATTATGCTCAAGTAACAGCCCTGCTACAGTAGTATTACCAGACAGGACAGCCAGGTGAAGGGCAGTGTTGCCGTCAGCATCTGCCAGATTTGGGTCGGCACCATGTTCTAGCAGAACAGCCACACATTTTTCTTGCTGGCACTGTACTGCCTGGAAACAAAACACAAAAACCTTCCAGCATTTACATTTCACTTTGTTGCAATTCTGCCATCTTCCTAATACTGGGAATTACGAGCACCTCCAGAGATTAGCTAACATATGCCCATTCCACACCAATCACAACATGCATAATTTTACAAAGGTCCACATAAAGAATACTGAAAAATACATCATTTAGTTCAGTATCAGTAAGTCTCACTTACAAGAATATACCATAATCCACGTACCTTCATCAGTGGCGATCTGTTATCACTGTCAAGAAGATTTAGCTTACACTTGTTTTCTATGAGACACATAACTACCTCCACATGGCCATTTGCACAAGCAAGATGCAGAGCTGTCCTAAAAATTAAATAAATTGAATTAGCACAGATAGGGATAATTTCAGGCTTTTTTGATAAACGTATGACCACAAGTTTCACTTTGCAAATCTCAAGCTTAAGAACCCACTCCATTGACAGTAGTTGCACATCAAATGCTTGGGACTCGCCAGCAAAAACCCTCCATAGCATCTGCTTAGTAAGGGGACATTTCCTTCACCATAGAACTGAATCTGGAGAGATTCCTGTGCCCAGGTGTTGGGTACTGCCCTCAGTGGGACTACACATATGGCACAAAAACAGAGACCAAAGGTACAGAACCTGAGGACTATGGCAATTTAACTTCTAAGCTTTTCTTTGATCATTCGTGGGTAAGAAGTGTATTGGAGATGTATTTAAGTGCAAGAATATTAGTGCTTCCCTGCACTTTGAGCATTTCTCCTTTTTCTCTAGCTTTTTTACTACTGAAGCAAAATCAAGAACACATTTGCACCAAAGATCCTCCAACAACATGTAGCAAATCAGAGAGCAGAACACTCTGATCATGACTACAGGAAAAGTAGTTTTTGACTTTCCTGTAATGTTAAACTATCGCAGTCATAAAAAGCTTACTATAGAGGAAGTCCTCTCCAAGGGGGTAATACTGTCTTTCCACAATATATAATCAGCACAAGAAAACTTTTTTCTTCATTTTAAAGATGTGCCAGAAAGAAAAGCAGTCCTTCAAACCACAACATCTTCTGATGTCAATTACAGTTTACTTGTACACAAAGACACTGTCACTGAGGAAGTCCTTGCATGTGTTTCCTCCTATAAAGCTAGGTGTTTTTAGGGCAGCAGAAGTAGATGAGTTTTATTGCTGCCAGAAGTCCAGCCTTCAGGATAGCCAGCCTAGGAAGCTGAGTTACTCTGCAAAAACCAGTATCTGTTCAGAATATCACAAAGGATTTGACTCTGAGCCTTTTCAGAAAAGGTGATTCCCTTTTGCTTATGACAGATAACTAGCAACTCTGCTGCAGCCCAGGGCTTCTCCTTAAGGCAGAACTGTTCAAGTGCTTGCTGTGCTTGACTCATCTGTCAGAAGAAACACTGACTTCTCCTGCAAGCCACTGACCAGATCTTCTAGTCCAAGGTACTGATACCAAAGTCTCAGAGCAAAAAACTAACTTCCACCTAAAACCACACTGTGTCTTAGGCCGCCACATTACACTTACAAAAGTCAACTATGCACGCAGCATTAATAAACAGCATGTTTATTTTGTACTATAGATCCCTCCTAACTGCAATGTCCACCTTTAAGTTGCTCCCACAGCTGAGGCAGTGCATCCTTCGGGCTCAACTACTGAACCTTCAAGCTGAGCCCTCAGAGGTGAAGAGAGATACGTGTGATTACACTCAACTTCAAACCCTGGCTGGAGAATGGCCATATGGCTTCTCTTGCAACCCCCCTTTGTCAAGCTAAGAGCTCGCTTCCACCCCTGCGCCCCTGGGCAAGGACGTACGACTCCAGGAATGAGGGCACTGAGGAGGACGGGTCAAAAATGGTAAGGCGACAGCTGGCCGAATTCAAGGGTTTTTTGGCAGCACGAGCCTGATTCTCACAGCCAGCCAAGGGCTGCGGCGCTCGCACTCCCACTCCTCACAGCGGCGCTGCCGGTCCGCTCCTGAGCCGGGGAGCTCCGGGGCTGCTACAGCTGCACCTGGGGCTCCCGAGACCGGCCCGCGGCTCCCGCCCTTACCGCTCCGCCTTGTCCCGCCCGTCGATGCTGTATTTCCTCAGTCCCTGCCGCACCTGGGCCAGGTCGCCGCTGGCGGCCGCGCGGTGTAGCTTGCCCAGGTCCTTCTGCCGAAGCTCGTAGGCACCAGCGGGGCAGGGAAGGGAGGCGCTGCCGGGCGGCGGCTGCCCCTTCCTCTTCCTCCCGAACCCGAAGATCCTCTTCATCCTGCAGCAGGAACGCAGGCACAGTCCCGTCTAAGGAGAGCAACAGCGGGAAACGATGGCGGGCTGTACCGTGCCTCAACAGGGACAGGGGAGGGGAGCTCTGCAGCGATCTCGACTCGATGCGGCTCTTGAGGAGCGCACCTCAGGCGCGGCAGCAGCTCCAGGGCAGGGCAGGGCAGGGCAGGGCAGGGCAGAGCAGAGCCCGGGCCCGCGCCCGCTGCCCGCGGCAGCAGCGACCCTCACCCCGCGCAGGCGCGGGAGAGCAGAAGCGGGCGGGCCCGCGCAGGCGCGGGGCAGTTAGGGACGGAATAACTCTCGGATGGAATTAGTGCCCCGGAGCATTTAGTGCTGCGTGGGTGCTGCTGTTGGGCTTGGGTGAATGGGTAACAACAACACATAGCAAGGATTAATACAGAAGGAAAGGGGATGGAGCGGAGCTTCAGATATCATCTGGTTACGTGCCTGACCAGATACTGAGGAATACGTCTGGTATTCCAGGTAACTGGGTTCGCAAACTGCCGACTGAGACGCAGGTTAAGCTTTGGGTGAGAGCCCGAGACAAGAGGCCGTGAACTGCCAGCCTTCGGGATATCCAAGGACGCGAAAATGAATGACGCTAGTCCGGTGAACAGACTGAGAGACACAGCAGGAGCCTGGAATTGCCGACCTTTCGGGTTACAAAGGAGATGAAGACCGGTGACACCGGTGCAGTCGTTGGACATGGAGAGGGCGGGGCGCGGAAGAGCCGAAGACGGGCGGAAGAGCGAGACTGGCTCAGGGTGCGCCGTGAGGCGAGAGGTTCTTCGCATAGGTGCTCTCCCCAGAGGCAGCAGCTCGAGCTGTTTCTGTGTTAGTGCACAGGGATTATGGAACGAGATCTCTGAGACTCTGCTCTGGGAAGGGTGGGGTCGGAGCGGTAAGGAAACCTGGTCAGACTGTGTGAGAGTAGGGGGTGTGGGGGGATGTGTCTAGCGAGGCGCCCCTCACCTCGCTGGAGGTGCCGTGCAGGGGCTGCGCTTCCAGCAGGGAAAGCCTTTGGCCCTGGGTGTGTGACTGTCAGAGTTCTGTCAATGGTCAGACTGGGAAGTTTCCCTAACACCCATTACAGACTCAGGAACTTCATTTCCATTCTAGTAAATGGGGCTAAGTTGGCAGCGATGCAGAGGAATACATGCATATGGACGGCCTATATCAAAACGTAGTATAGAAAGCAAAATATTTGGTAAGTTTGGAATAATTCTCAATATTTTACTGCTACAGTGGTGCCACTGGGTAGTTCAGATACCATATAATTTGGAGGTGATGCCATGGTACAGTATAACCTAGGGTATTTGGCTAATGGAACACTTTGCCAGAACACTTCTTCCTGTCTTTAGGAACTACTTGTTGCATATCCATTTCTGAAAAAGAGATGGGAAACAAAACCTAATTCAAACAGAGGAATGCATTTCACTATGACTAGCAGTAAAAACATTTATTGCAACGGGACAGGAATATAGTACCACTTTTTAGGGAGGTGATTCAGCCCTTTGAAATATTTTCTTTTCCTTCATCACTAAGAATGGTACATATAATAAAATTTTTATTTTCCTGTCCAGAATAAATCTTCATAGCTTTCTGAAATGTTTGGTTCTGGCAGTATTCTCTTGATGTACAGTCACTTTCATTAGTTGATTCTCAGTGTATTAGCAGTGTTCTGTTTTTTTAGACCTGATCCCTAGACGCCAAAAGAAGAGCCAAAATAATAACAGTCATTTTAAAAGATGGAAAAATACTCTTTTGCTGAAACCGCAGCTAAGTAGGTTCAGGTTGCAAAACCTAAATTTCTGTGAGTATTAGGAAATTACTGTTAGTAACCATTTTGATAGTGTCTCTGTAGTCAGTCTGACCATTTAATGGAAAAATGGTGAGCAAAATGCATTTTTAACTGGATATATTGGTTTTCTTGCAGCCATCGTAGAAGAAAGGCAAGTTTTTATTTACAACATGGCAACATGGGGTAAACATGAGTCATGTCTGTGCTCTTCAGGAGGAAGTATTTAATCTCAATTTTTCAAGTGGACACATGCTCAGCCACAAATAGTTTTGTTTTTACAGATTACTCCCCACCTAAGACCAGGAGACCCTAAGTCCATGTCAAATATTTCAGAATGGTATCAGTAAAAAGCCCTGTAATTACAATGTCAACTTTAGTTAGTGAGTTTGATAGCTGAATGGGCTAAAATTCAATTTCATGCTTCTAAAGATAAGGGGATGGATGGGGTCACAGTCATATGGGTACAACAGGAACTGTTCATTCCTTACCAGCCAAAAAAGATGCAAAAGAAGTAGCTAGTCTCTGTCACTAAAGAAACTGTCAGCTGTTTTTATCAATCTTTGTTCCTACTGTTAGTTTGTGTTGGCTCAGAGTGCTGTTGAAGACATAAAAGTGTTTGTTTTTAGTTTTGATCCATTTCTATTTTTAATTTAATTTTTATACTTCCTTTTTGAATTTAGTTGTTTTTTTTTAATTTTCGTGTTTCCTATTCTGTTGCTTTTTCTCTTCAGTTTTCGCAGTATCATCTAATAGCAGATTTTTTTTCCTGTCTGCATGAAATGTTTCACTCCTGTTCCTGAATTCCTGTTTCATTACAAGACTTGTGTACCACAAGAAGATTTCCAAATAGGGCCTAATCGTGCCTTAAGTGTTGCATAACCACTGGTATTTGGATTAATCTGCTATAGGTACACGTTTCCTTCAACATGATGCACTATAGCTGGATAACGTAGGTCACAATCTTTATATATCTGGGGTATAAAATGGCAGTCTGAAATTCCCCTTTGACAATATGGCAGATTCCCCTATTAGACCACCGGGTGTATTTTCTCAAGCAGGAAGGAAGTGCCAGTAAAGACTTGGGCTGATAACAATATACTACTAAGTATCTGCTTTGGTAAAGCTGCTTTGCAACTACTACATTTATAGGAGTGGTACAACTTAGAAAAGCTGCCTGTGAGAATTGCGTGTCTCAGTAGTGTCGACTCTGAGGCTTTGAAGGGAACTGGGAAGTTAGCGTGCATGCTGCAGACAGTGACTTCAGCAGCTTTTGCTGTAAGTGGAGAGCTGCAGCTGTGGGGGTGCTTCTGCTATGCTGCCTCTGGAGCCTTCCACAGCCATTGGGTACTTGCTGAGTCAAGTGGGGGCAGTTTTACCGGCTCCCTGTGCAGCCTGACACACCATATGCCATGCACACAGTAGGATTAACAGCTAGCTTTCCATTCAGAACGTACAAGGGATTTCTTTTGGCTTCCTCCTCTAAGTCATGAGCAAGAAATGTCATTTTCTTTTCAATACAGTAAAAGAGTTACTGTATGAGATTAGCACTGTTCTCTGACCAACTGAGCCAACAGCACCAAGGTTACGGCTTCAGTCCCTTCATGGGCCATTCACTTAAGAGCTGGACTTGATCCATCCTTGTGGGTCCCTTCCAACGCAGAATCTTCTGCGATACTCTGATTCCGAGGAGGCTTACTAGCATATTCAGAACCGCACACACTTTCTGGGCTACCAATATACAGCTACCATGGAAATAAACTCTCTGTTATTGTGGAGTTAGATAGGTTGCAATTGAGTTAGTTAGGTTTGGTTCATTTGAGTTGAGAAAAATGCAAAATAAGACCTCTGTCTTTCTTCTGTTTTGTTTTGGGTTTTTTTTTAACTACTTGGAAATGATAAACCATAAGGAAGGGAGCAATGTCTGCTGACAGTAGGACTGCAACTGCAGTGCATTGAGAAATTATTTCAGTTCCCAGATGCTGTGCCTTAACCGCAGACACAAACTGAGGTAGTGCACAGCTGTGTGATCACTACCCCCTGCATACACACCACCATGTCCCCCACCCCAGTGGCATGGGAAAGAGAATTAGAAATAAGTAACAAAACCCCCCTGACTTGTGGATTCAGATAAGAAGAGTTTCATAATTGATACGAACAGAAAGGTAAGAATTGTAATATTTAAAAAAGAAAAAAAATTAAACCCAGAAGAACCAAGTGATCCACAACACAGTTGTTCACCACCCACTGACTGATGCCCATCCTGACTGACTGACTCGACCCAGTTTCTGTGGTGTGGAATATCCCTTTGGCCAGTTTGGCTCAGCTGTCCCAGCTATGCCTCCTTCCAGCTTTTTGTGCATCTCCCCACTGGCTGACACATGAGACGTTTGAAACTCCCTGACTTCTGATAAGCACTGCACAGCAACAGCCAAAGTGTGTTATTGTGCTGGTTTGGGCTGTGCTAGAGTTAATTTTCTTCACAGTGTCTGGTATGGGGCTGTGTTTTGGATTTGTTCTGAGCACAGTGATGATAGTATAGAGGTGGGTTTGCTATTCTTAAGCAGTGCTGCTGTTGAGTCTCAAGAGTACAGTCCTGGGCCACCTGCTCTGGGGCAGCCACAAAATGTCAGGTCCCGAGAGCACAGTCCTGGACTGCCGACTCAGTTAGACGGTATTTGGGATACTGTAAGGGTCGGTCGGAAGTTTCCCTCGTTTTTTGCCTCCCGACCGTCGCAAGGAGACCTCGAGGACCCCCATCCAGGCTGACACTGGACAATGGTTTCCTGGCCTGGCCGGGGTGGCTGCTTGTCAAGTGACTGTGAGCAGGTGTTTTAAGTTTACTCACCAACCGGAGATTGTGTTGGACCAACTGGAGACTGCACGTACTGCACGACCGCACCTGTCTCGCGCAGCACCACACAAGGGTCCATAAATCTTCCCACTTTTTGGCCAGAAGCCACTCGCTTTGGAAAAGGACTCTGGAGTAGAGCCTTGAGATTTCCCCATGGATGAAGACCCGTCTTATTGGCTGGCCCATGAGGACGTCCGTCTCATCTTGCTGGTAGCTATTTCCCCATCCCTCTCTTTTTCTCTCTGTACTTTGTTTCCTGTATCTCTCCCCTCTATCGCAACTGAATTGTTGGCATTTAATAGAAATGCATTGCTGTTGTTGAATAAACTGATTTTGTCCCCTGCATTTTGCCTGTTTCCAGCTCTGAGATCAAAGGAACCATCACGACCCCCGCTCTGTATTAATAGCGGATCGTGACAGATACCCATGGGCTAAATTAGGCCAGAACAATGCCAAACAATCAAGTAGAAAGTTTTACTTCTGGCA